TCTGACAGTTTGACAACATTGCACTGACAAAAGAGTTATTAGACCAAAGTTAGAAATATTATTACAGAATGACGGTTTTGAGAAGGCCAATAAATGACCTTATGGTGTGTGGGTTTATCATATATAGGCCTACTATCGTTTGTTCAGAGCCAGAAGGGCATTCGTTGTGTTAAGAGTTAACATCCTTCTGGCTCTCAGCAGACCATGATTATAAATAAAAGTAATACAGAGAGTGCGAGCATACTGGAGGGAGAGCTAGAGAGAGAGAGAAAGAGAGAGAGAGAGAGAGAGAGAGAGAGTGAGAGAGCAGTGGCACAACACAGAAAACTACGAAAACTTGAATAAAAGCACTACTCAATACACAATAGGCCTATATTATTCTGTCAAACTGTCAAAGGAGAGTCTGTGCTTGCATACTACTATGCCACTCTATAAGTTGAGGTGCATTTCCAATACACGCACCAGTAGGGTCTGAATCATAAAACTACTCAGACTTGAATAACACTATTTTGTCAAACTGTCAGATTAGCGTCTGTGCTTGCAGACTACTATGCCACTCTGCAAGTTGAGATGCCTTTCCAATACACGCACCAGTAGGGTCTGAATCATAAAACTACACATATTTGAATATAAAGCACTACTCAAGACACTATGTTGTCAAACTGTCCGATTAGCGTCTGTGCTTGCAGACTACTATACCATGCTATTCAATTTGGGATGCATTTCTGTAAGCACTAAAATGTCTGAATCATACAACTACTCAGACTTGAATACTAGTACTATTGCTACGCACGATATATGCGTAATTGTTTTGTCAAACTGGCAAATCAGAGTCTGTGTTTGAAGACTACTATGCCATCGTTTACTCGTAGAACGCGAATCGTGCACAGTAGATGCGAATACATGTACATTTCGTATGGGAAGTAGCAGAGAAATCACAAGTCCACGCGCATGCGCACATGGGGTATTTGCCCTCTCGAGTACGGAAAAAAAATTCGCACCCCGCTGATCCGTTTTTGAAGACCGAATTCTAACACTAACTTTGCGCTGTGGGGGATTCCCCCGGACGATTACGTCCGCCTCCAACAGGGGGATGGATCTACCCTGAGAAGTGAATTCACCAATGCGTAAAAACCCGAAAAACGCTAATAAAAAGGTTGCAGTGAAAAGTTTAGTATGATAGGACGTTTGGCATACTAATGGCAGTGTTGCGATTAATTTATGTAATAAGGGCATAGTAATGGGGCAGCGCACGTCAAGGCGAGCATGACGCCTACGGCAGCCTTCAACTAATCGCTTTATCGGAAAATTCTGAGTTATATCTTCCCTATTATGACTGCGCTCATGAAATGACTGAGCTGAAATATATGTAGCGATAGTGTTTGCTGAATAATTGGACCAGCTCATGTAAGAAATGAAAAGAGCAACCTGCTCGATAGTTGGTGGAGTAGAGGCATTACAATTATAATTACTCCGAAACAGCTGAAAAGTTTGCCATGCCGTGTGATAAGTGCGCATAGTGTTCTGAGCTCTGGAAGAGCTTAACAAGACGGCACGCTCCCGACTAAGCTGCTCCAGAGAGGGGTAGGAATGGGGTCCCTTGTTGCTCGGCATTGGGGGCCAGATGTCGAAAACGGGTCATCTGAAAGCGGGACAGAGAATCGGCAATTTCATTGGTATGGCCTGGAACGTACATTGCCTTAAACCAAATGTTCCACCTTAAACACAGTACTACAAAGTGGCGAATGAGCCGCATAATTATCTTGCAATTAGACGATTGCTTGTTAATGACGGCAACTACCGATTGATTATCAGACCAGAAAGTTACTCTCTTCCCATTTAACCGATCTCCCCATAAGTGAACGCCTACAACTATGGGAAGCAGTTCTAGAACGGCAATGGAGAAATTAGCCTCCCTGACGTATTCCGGCCACTTAGCTTGAGCCCAGCATCCCTCGAAATAAATGCCTAGCCCAATGCTTGCCGCTGCGTCTGTATAGAATTGAAGGCAATTATTATCCCGCCAAACATTGTCAGCAAACATAACAGTCCCATTAAAATGCTCTAAGAATGCTTCCCATGCTGCCAGGTCAGCCTTAGCCCCACTGGTAAGCCTTATGCGATGATGGGGCAGACTTACCCCTCTAGTCATGTCTATCAGCCGCCTGAGAAAGGCCCTACCTGGGCCAACCGCCTTACATACGAAATTGAGTGACCCAATTAGCGATTGTAGCTGGCGCAGTGTCAGCTTAGACTTCGTGGAAAAGCTGCGAATCATGCAACGTAGCGCTTCTAATTTATCAGCTGGAACTTTTACCTGACATAGCCTTGTATCAATCTCTAGACCCAAATATGTAATTACTCTCGTAGGGCCTTCGGTTTTCTCCAGCGCTAAGGGCACACCGAAATCATTGCACATATTTTGGAAGCAGAGCATGATGCGCTGGCATTCCTCGAATGAGGAAGCAGCAAAGAAGAAATCATCTAAGTAATGCAGCACTTGTTCAGTAACAGCTATGCGCCGACAACAATCCTCGAGAAAGGAACTAAAGCGCTCAAACATTGCACACGAAATCGCGCAACCCATGGGCATGCACCTATCATAATAGAATTTTCCATCAATGCACATACCGAGCAAATCAAAATCAACTGGATGCACGGGCAGTAATCTAAAGGCAGACTTGATGTCAGCTTTCCCCATAAAAGACTTAAGACCAAGTTTAACAATCATGTACACCGCTTCGTCGAAACTAGTGTAAGAAACGTTGCACTCCTCCTTATCTATGCTATCATTTACAGAAGAGCCGCGAGGGGAGGATAAGTGTTGTATTAATCGAAATTCGCCTGGTGTTCGTTTTGGAACAACCCCGATGGGGGAACAACGAAAATTCGGAAATGGAATTGAAGTAAAGGGGCCTACGATTCTGCCAAGTAGCACCTCTTTTTCTATCTTTTGCATAATGATTTGATGATGAAGAATTGCAGACTTGAGATTCTTACAACTCATTTGTACACGGGTGCCTTTAAAACTCAGAGAAAAGCCGTACGTAAATCCCGAAATTAGACGTTTTGCGTCAGACTGATTGGTGTAAGAATGATGAAAGGGTAGCATGGGCTTTAGCTTAATTGGGGTTGGGGCTAGGGCTCGGTTTGGTAGCCGCAAGTTGGGGGCGGTTGCAGGCAAAGGAGCCATGGGATGTATTTCCGCATCTATCGCATTTGTGCGCATATCTGCAGCCTCGCCCCCTACCGCACCGGCCGGAGGCGTTGAATGCGAAACAAACTTGGGCCCGCGGACTCGCGGTTGCGCTACCGTATCCGTCCCGATTAAGGGCTGAGCGCCCATTGCGGCGCGGGCCTGATAGTTGCTGTCTTGGCCGTTGAGCTCCGCGAAATTGAGATTGCCTCCCGCTGGAGGGACGAAAATTCTCCCTGCTGTCCGGCCGCGCGTAGGCAGTGGCGACTAGTAGCCACAGCTCCGCGTCTACTACGGCCCATGAACGCTCCGGCTGCCGCGCTTGCCGCAGGCGGAACTGTAGATCGTAGTCGCACCAATTATAGCCGCAGCTAGCGGCAGTGCGCACAATACTGATATACTTTAACAGTTCCCGTACCCGACGTGTGTGTCGTTCGGCATAAACCGAAACAAAAACTAGCATGGCACTAGTCCACTGTGGTATGCCTGTAATGGCTGTTTTTCGGTTTGGCGCCCGCAGCTGAAAATTAGCGCTCGCAGGGGAAAAAGTTAGAGTTAACCCCTCGTCGACGGAAGGATCGGACATGGATGGCGATAATAAAGCGCTTAAGTCAATGAACTCCCCCCGCCAAATTTTTTCCCTGCTTGACTTCGGTGATCGGACGAGAACCAGTATATTCAGCATGGTATGGTCGTAGACTTCATTGGTAAACATGCTGGGATTTGTATCAAAATCGTCAATTGCCATTTCTGGCCATGACTCACCGTTGACGCCGCCGTCTTGCACTATCGGATTATTTTAACTTCCTCTGCGCTGGTTAAAATTAAATATACATCAGGCGCGGATCCAGGATTTCTTAGGGGGGGGGGGGGGCAACATTTGAAATCATGTGAGCCAAATATTGGTTCGTAATGGTGACCAGCAGTGACGTAATTGGGGGTGGGTGGGTGCAGGGAGGGGCGAGTTTCCCCCTCCCTCCTCCGCGAAACGCGGAAGCTTTGACATTTCAATAAATTATTAGAGAAAGAAGACGATCTGTTGTACCGTTCCCAAAAAATAATCCTCGTCTGAATTGAGTTTTCCCCCTCCCGCGCTAAGCGGAAGCTTACGTTTCATTAAATCATTAGAGAAAGAAGACGATTTGTTGTGTCGTTATCCCCTTTTTTTCTTTTCTTCTTCCTCTTTTTTCCTTTCTTGTATCTCCTCTTTTCCTTTTTTCTTTCCCTTTCCTTCCTTCTCTTTTATTTTTTGATTGGGGGGGGGGTGGGCAACAGCCTGGAAGGCAAGTCCTTTTGCCCCCCCCCCCCCCCGATTTACTTCTTCCCTCTTTTCTTTTCTTCTTCCTCTTCTTTTTTTCCCTTTCTCTCCTCTTTCCCTTTCCCTTCTTTCCTTCTCTCTTTCTCCTTTTTTTTCTTTTTTTTGTTGCGGGGGGGGGGGGCAAGGCCCGCTCGGCTCCCCCCCCCTGGATCCGCGCCTGCTTCTCAGTTAGGGTTATGCTCACCTTTTTGGTGGTTGCAATGGTTACAGAGAATTTAAGAAAATAACAAATATTTCAAATTAGAAACTGAAAAAAACATATATTACTAAAGTAAAATGATGCTAAAAGTTTGATTATGATCAAAACCATGGTCTTTTAAAGTTTTATTTGTGCAAGAACATTATGTTGGTATGGCAACTATATGGCGGAATTTGATATTTGATATATTACTAAAGTAAAATGATGCTAAAACTTTGATTATAATCAAAACCGTGGTATTTTAAAGATTTATTTGTGCGAGAACATTATGTTGGTATGGCAACTATATGGCAGAATTTGATAAGTAAGAAAACTATACTTGAAAAGGATTGCCATAAAAACACTATAGTCCAAACATCAAAGTAGGTAGATGCTTGGTTTTAAAACGCTATGATAATTTGCATGGGCTAATAATATCACAAATGTATCCTTTCCCTTTAGATAGACAAATAATGATCTATTCTCTCTTTGTTTGTTCATTTGTTCGTTTATTTGTACATACACGATGTCTCTAAGCGCTTTACAGATGTATTATTATCCCGGTCATCGGATTTAGGCTTGCCCGCACGCACATAGTGTATGCACATACTCCACTCCCTGGGGAGCATTCCAGCCAGGTCATTCCGGTGACATAACTATCCTGACTCTATAGCTATGGTTTAACTATATGTCGATTGCAATCTTAACATGTCTCGAAAATTGAAAGTTTTTTAATATTAATCTTGAGATAACAAAAAAATACATTTGTTCAGCTATCATGTTATCAATATTTGTTGCCCTATTGTTGCTGTTGTTGTTGTTGTTGCTGTTGTTGTTGCTGCTGCTGCTGTGTTTTTTTTTCAAACCACGACAGATTAAAACTCTTCTAGGGCTTTACAAAAATCTGTTCTCATCCTAATTCACTGCCAGATCCAAGAGGAGACTCACTGCTCTAAAAGAATTAGACGAAGTTGACGCATCAACTACGACCGATCAACCAAAACAATCTGTGAACGGATTTCAGGAAATTGCGTCGTCGAGTATTGCTGAAGACATTGACGATGTTGATTTCCCGTATGAGAACCTCGTTTTGGAAGGCGGTGGCAGCCAGGGAAATGCTTATATTGGCGCCATAATGGTGAGAAGCGATTAAATATTCCTGCTACTATAGAACTATCTCTACCAGTACTATACTACTAGTACTACTACTATTAGGTTTTCCTGTCCATTTTAACACTTTGTTTCAATCAGTACTCTTGTAATTTTATTTCGTCCGAAAGCTTCCAAATTTTGCACGTCTCATAGTCTATTTCGTCATTGATAATTCATTTTCTAATCAATTTCATAATTTCGTATCCAATTTCGTTAAAGTCAAATTGATCTCGTCATCCCCGGCTGCCAACGGAAAATTGCGTCATTTTGCAATCGACGTCGTCAAAGCGTCATTCGAATTCGTCATTCGTCTTGTCTATGCGATGGATTTTAATGAAACTTCCTTGGTATTGATCTTACAAAGACGAATTCGACTGTTACATTCTGCAGCGGATCTCCGGGTGAGACGAATTCGAACGAAATTTGACGAAAATTGGACAAGTGTTGAAATTCTTTTAAAATGACCCATAAATGCCGACAAACTATTGCTAATGTTATCAGATTTCCTGCACGCTCTTTAATTCTTTGTATCAAATAGGAGTTGGAGCGACTTAACTTCTTGAGCAAGATTCGTCGTTTCGCTGGTTCCAGCGTTGGTTCGCTGACAGCTGCTTATCTCGCCGTAGGCCACGGGACCAGCAAATTTCTCTCCATGATAAAAGATGGACCTCAATTCAACGACCTCTTAGGTGAGAAACAAATTAGAGTATCTACACGTGCGATCGCAAAGACTTTCGAGAAATCAACTTCAAGCAGTTTCAATAGCCTAGTCCGGCATTTTCCGGAGGATGTTTGGGAACATTACAGTGACGTGTTGCGTTGTTCCAACATTGCCCCCCCCCCTGTTAAAGGGAAAGTCCACCCCAAAAATAATTTTGTTTCGATAGAGGCAGAATAATAAGAAAATCAGGTGAGTGAAAGTTTGAGCAAATTCTGAATGAAAATAAGAAAGTTATGAATTATTGAAGTTGTGATCAATCAAATACAAATTGGCAACTCTGTGACTTATACGAGCTCTCCTTCATTTGCTTTGTGCATAATATTCCATAAAATCATGTTTTCTTCGTTATTGATGACGGAATATATATTTGTTCCTTGCAGGGGGAGTATAGAAACATATTTGCAATTATTATATTTAGGGTGCATGTATGGTTGAAATTTTTCTTGAGGGAAAATGAAAATTTTAGATTTTTTTAGTACTGAGCAAATGGAAGTTGAGCTCGCATGATACGTCATAGAGTTGCCAATTTGTGTTTGATTGATCACAACTTCAAAAATCCTAACTTCCTTATTTTTAATCGGAATTTGCTCAAACTTTCACTGACTTGTTTCTCTCATTTTTCTACTCCTATTAAAACTAACTTAATTTCAGGGTGGACTTTCCCTTTAACACCCCGAACGTATTTGCGGTCGTGTAAGATAAACAAATATAAAATAAAATCGAATCGATTCTAGGGAAATATATAATAGTGATAAAATAGGCAGTGGTATAGCTACAGGGGCACATGGGATTATGCCCCCCCCCCCCCCCCACCATCAAATGGAAGTAGAAACAGCAAGACACAAGGGGAAAAGAGAAGTGGGGGACCGGAAGGGAAACATGACCAAAAGACACTACGATCTTTTCCTATAAGTGCAGCACTGCATGTATTTTTCGTTTTCTAGAATTTTCTGAGTTGGTTAATGAGTGGTCGATGTGCGTGATCCGCAAGATAATTTAAACACATCACGTCATAATAAGTGACAACGACAAAATAAACAATCACAATATACTCATTTTGTATTCCTCCTCACGTGGTTTCTCTTATTGAAGACGCACCTTGTGGAAAATGCAGCCTGGTGCCCAACCTGTTTAGGTACATGGGATGGCATCCCGGAAGAACCGCCTATCAGTCTTTCGGTGAGAACATTGCTGAGAAGCTAGGAGACCCAAACGCCACATTCAAGGTAAATCGGCCGTTGTACGATACGTGTTCCTTCGACAATTGATCTATGATCATTTCTAAATTCCTTAAAAGTCCACCACATACTATCCGATCTGACTATGATCCGATTTTTGAAGAATTTGCAGTTGCATTTGATTAGAGCATTCAAATTCTAAGATCCTAATTATTGATGATCTGAATGTTCATATGATTTATATTTAAATTTAAACGGATTTCAAGCTTGCTTGGAGGAGAAAAGGCTACTTCGGCTCAATTTGATGCCAATTCAGTTTTAGAACCTGAATCAAGAAGGTGATTGCTGTTGTGTGTATTTTTTGTAAATCTATATATCTAATGTTGGTGCCATTTCTTCGAAAAATAGGATCGCATGAAGATCGTATAATTTGCGGTGGGCTTAACTGGGTTCAACAAGAAACCGTACCCTACTATAAATTTAACCCCAAAAAACCTAAAAGCAAACCCAAGCCCTTACCATAAACTTTTGACAAAATAAAGTCACCGGAGGGGCAACCATGGTGTATTAAAAGAAGCAGTTGTGCACGCGTAGGCCTAATTTAATAGCGAGTTCTAGCTCAGCGACGGAAAGACCTTCTACGCCGCGGGAGCATTCAATAAAACGGCCGTCGCACACAGACCGCCCTCGTTACAATCTGCGATTTCGCTTTTCGGTGAACGCGTACGTATAGTATGAAGGAGCTGACGTCACCGGCAACGCGCAACAACCCCAATGCCCTGCCACGCAATACAGTACAGACGGGACTACACGACTTCACTCGATCAAGCCACAAAACGGCTTTTCATCATATTTCAACAATTCATTATTCAGTTTTAAAACAGTTTATGTTAATCCATATTCTTGTCGTTATAGTTATAAAGCAATGATCGAAATAAAAACTCACCGAAGTGCCGTTGGCGTTGAAATTCATCCCCTGATGTTCTCATCGCATGTAATAAAACATCTTTGGTACAAGCTTGCTGATTGACTGTTGATTCACTTGGGACGTCATTGAGAACGCCCGTAAATTTGGCCAAAAACTGTTCTGGATTTCAGTAGTAGGTTTTCGCAAGCTCAACGCGGACGGGGAATCTGCGGTTCGTGTGCAAAATCGAGAAGCTACTATAGTAACAGCGGGGTGACCGATGAGTACTGAAATCCAGAACGAAAATTCCCTAATGTTTGTCAAAGGTGGCAATAACAGAAGTTTGGATTATGTGTATTGAAATACTATTATTCTTATCAGGTGAATGAAAAAGTTTGTATCGAGGCACTTCACAAAGAACTATGCATTATATTTGGTTACATTACGAAAATTGCCTATTGGCATTGCATTGCAATACCACTGTACTATGCGTACGCGTTTACCGAAAAGCGAAACCGCTAATATACCGTAACGATGGCGGTCTGTGTGCGACGACCGTAACCCTCAGTGCCCCTGCGTCGTGGAAGGTCTGGCCGTCTCTGAGCGAAAACTCGCTAGTAACTCCGCGGTCACCCCGCTGTTACTATAGTAGCTTCTAGATTTTGCACACGAACCGCAGATTCTCCGTCTGCGTTGAGCCTGCGAAAACTCCCTTATATTATGTGGCAAGGACATTACAATGGTGATGCGCACACCGAGACGCACATTATACAATTGTACTGTTTGGCTGATTGCACTGCATGATTTGACGTCATCCAATAAAGCAAATGGCGTCCTGCATGATTGCGCGACTCTGTTTTTCTCTTCTTATATTTTGGATCGGGTTTGTAGTCAATTTCTCGATGTAATACTCATATTGTTGACCCGTCTTACAAAAACAGATAGTACATGTTTTATGTAGTGCACTGGTTAAGCCACAACGAGACGGACAATGAGCTCGACAAGTCTTCTTCATTATCTGACTGTGACATAACCTAACTGCAGTGTATAATCACTAATGCACTCGCAAACATGAGTGATTTGTATTTTCATGTTTATACTATGGGACGCTAGTTTATCCATTTCTTGAACCCAGCAGTGGGTCAATTTTTTGTAGAATACGAATTCAAGACTTTGTTTTCAGGATCAAGAAAAACAAAAATCTCTGGTTTCTATAATGATAGTTATAATAATTTCTCGGCTATAAAATCGAACAACTCTTTCGTCCCTTGCTTCCTTTAATAGGACCTTTATGTTAAGACGGGGAGAGAACTATGCGTGGTGGTTACCAATCTTACCACGATGATGGAGGAATATTGTCACGTCAAAACCACTCCCAACATGCCAATAAGGACAGCTGTCAGGATGTCTATGTCTGCTCCAGGTGAGAACTAAACCATTTGAATTTACGCGACAACTTCTAAAAACTGTTGATATGCAAAACCAAATAAATATATCCACTGATTTATTTTTCAAGAAATACAATATCAACATGAACGCAGAAAACCTAAGTTTTGCATTCTTGCATCAATATTCGACTTCAAACACATTTGTTTTGAACAACCTTGCAGAAATGTCTCTTGAAGGACATCATCTTTCACATTACGATACAGTTAAAGTGAAATTTTGCCATCAATTGTTTTTTTTTTTTGTTATGTAGGGGGGGGGGCTCCAAACTGTAAATCTTATTATCAAAATACCCTGTGCTATTGTTTCACAGTAATGTACAATTGTGAATCTCTCTTATATGCTACGTTTTCGTGTCTCCTGTATGAGGGATGTAATTATATTTAATACTCCAGTTGATCATGTTTATACCAACGTCTAGTAATTGACCTATATAAACCTCATTCGTTAAAAGTCTCGTTCAAGTATGATGCGGTAAACCGTATATTTTTAATGATGAAGTAACGTGTAAAACGCTTCTTATTTCCATATGTTATAATTCAACGTGTCATATCTAAACGAGCCTTATATCTCATGAACATGGTGAAAGTAGATGAATAAATTTGCATCACCCTATTGTTTTGTTTTGTTGTTGTTGTTGTTTCTTACCTTATTATTGCGCAGTTGTTTTCGTTCCTGTAAAGCGGCAATACTTGGGTCGTACCGATCTCTATATCGACGGCGGTGTTTTGTGCAACTATCCAGTTCACTGTTTCGATGGTAAGTATAATCATTAATAATGTTGAATATCGAAGAGTAGCAACGAACAGTGGCGTAGCTATGGGGGCGGGGTGGGAGCACGGGGGCATGTGCTCCAAAAATCGAATGGCAAAAAAGAGAGGTGGGAGAGAAGGGAGAGCGTGAAGGAAGAGGAAAAAGAACGTGATATAATAAAAGGAGATTTGAATAACGTCAATATCATAAATACAAAGTATCAGAAACCGCTAGATGCTCAAATGTATATTTACTTGTACATATACATTGCTTCATATAATTCGATTATAGAATGTATTGTAAGTTGTTATTCATAACAAGTTTCATGAAACAAGAACCTCTTCTTTGTCTGCTTTAATAATCATTAATAATGTTGAATATCGAAGAGTAGCAACGAACAGTGGCGTAGCTATGGGGGCGGGGTGGGAGCACGGGGGCATGTGCTCCAAAAATCGAATGGCAAAAAAGAGAGGTGGGAGAGAAGGGAGAGCGTGAAGGAAGAGGAAAAAGAACGTGATATAATAAAAGGAGATTTGAATAACGTCAATATCATAAATACAAAGTATCAGAAACCGCTAGATGCTCAAATGTATATTTACTTGTACATATACATTGCTTCATATAATTCGATTATAGAATGTATTGTAAGTTGTTATTCATAACAAGTTTCATGAAACAAGAACCTCTTCTTTGTCTGCTTTGATAGGGTGGTGGCTTTCTATGAAACCTGAAGATGCTCTCCTGAAGAAGATGCAACCTTTGGAGGATGCAGCCAAACTCCTCACAAAGAAGGAGAGGTTTGGAATGTTCAACGACAAAACCTTTGGCATGATAAGTTCATAAGTTCATGCTCCGGCATTCAATATAACAAATAATTTCAACTGACACATTTACAATTTCAAGAGTTATGTAAGATTTAACCGAGGCCGCACGCCAGGGTTGAAATATAATGACAGAGGCGATTTTTTAAGTTGAACAACGGAAGGGATGCGATGCTTGTTAAAATAGGGGATATTTTCGATCAGATACTTTTAATGTTTCTAATCTTTGGAGTCAGGCCCTCTCAATTACATTTAGGTTGCCTTCGCAAGTTGTCCCGACCTAGCTTGAGATCAAACTAACTGTGTAACTAACTAAATTGTATTTTGCTCTTCTTCCAACAGTACAGTGATTACGACTCCCATGTACTGGCTACCAATCCAGATTTAGAAGCCCCCATTGCACCTATACCAGATACAAAACTTGCCAGGTAAGTTGACGGACAGTATACGTAGGATATTATCGTGTCCATTGCGAATTTTCATCGGACTGTGGATTACATGGTTCGAGGTTCGAGTCCCACCGCGGCACCAATGTCCTTTGGCAATATATACATGATCTCTATGTGTCACCCTCTACCCGGGTGATGTAAATGAGAATCCGGTAGGGAAAAATTCCTCGAATGCCAGAGCGCCTTCTCTTGCAGTTTGGCTAGTAACATTTTGGTTAGTAACATTACAACGCCTGGTGACTCTAGTATTAAGTGTTATATGAATGTTGTTATTGTTAAAGAACTCGAATTGTCTAAAACCTTGTAAAATGGATAACAATGAACATTTATTTGTTTACATACGATATATCTCTCTCCTCGTTTTTAGCATGCCTACATGACTTATACTTTAAAGGTAATACAAAGTTTTGGGAAATTTTCAAAATCGGGTGGATAGTAATTCTTTACAATTTTGATATATTTGGATGCCCCAGTGAATGTATTATAACCACTAAAATTTTAGCCCCTAAAACGCTTTTGCTTTCGAGAAAAATTGAATATTAAAATTTACCGGTGCTCCCGGTAAATTTTGATGAATTTCAAATCGCGCCTATGGCTGTACAATGGTAGCTGCGACCATGAAAATCTCGGAATATGTAGTTGTGATACATAACTTCTAAACGGGAATAGCTAGTCGATCGATTTTAGTCAAGAAACATTGTTTTATAGCTTAATTAATATCTTGACCTTGAGAGGGAGCTATACAACTTAAAGAGTGTATTATTTACAATTTCATAACTTAAGACTTGATTTCAACCGCGACAACGATCACTGAATATTGTAGGATCGCATTTGCTTCCAATATTTTCATTTGACCAAATTCATGACCCCATACCAAAACTTTGTATTACCTTTAATGGGAGCGTATAGAGAAATTTTAAATTACTCTCGGCAGGCTATAGGTATCAGATATCAAGTCATTTTTCTTATTACAGAGAGCTAATCTGTAAAGCGCTAAAAGACTTCTATATTATTATTATTGATTTCTGTCCAACGCATGTCAAACGAGTATGACTTTTTTGTTTCTTGTATGATTATTTGATATGTATCTAACCATTCGTATCGCCTTTAATTGGCCTCATCTAGAGCTCACGAAAAAATAAAACAGAAGCGAGATTTGAACTGTAAACAGCATCGCCTGGTGACAGACGCCATGACCCAATTTCTGAAGGTTCTGGATCAAAATAGTATCGGAGATACTACGATTAATATCAACGCGTTCAAGCAAGTCTTCAACAATGTACGTATCACGATACATCACACGATATACCAAAGTGCTTGAGGAAAATTAAAAATGTTCACCACAGAATGATAAGTGGTCTTTGTTTCATATCAACAGAGTAGCTCCTTAGTGAGAGCTGCATGATCTTCACGGCTCATAATTGAAATTTCTCCCAGGAAGCATTACATTTATAAAATGTACGTATCGTCTTTAACTTTAAAATATCTAATCGTCTAATCAAGGACCGACTAAAAAATTGTAAAAGTGAAGGAGAGATTACATTGGAAACTATTCAAATAAACCACGTCTTTATTCTTAAACCATATATATATTACAGAGATTCATACTCCCACTTATATATAAAGTCTGACACTGGAATTATATACCTCTATATGATGTAAGCGCATTTACTGTCGTAACCACCTTTTTTTATAGTGCTCTCACTCGATAGGCCAATTGTTAGTGTAATTTTAACCAGATATTTTTTGTACAATGATAAAATTATCATCTTTCTGACAGCTTACCCTTTCATAAGCTAATTTCTAAATCCTTTGTTCTAAGCCGCATGTAATTCTGTTTCCGTTTAGTTTCGATTTTGATATTTTCTTCTCTTTTCTTCTCATGATAGAATGAGGAGTTTACACCTGACCAAGCTCGCATTCTGTTCGGAGAAGATATGACTGTCGATGAAATATTTGACAGCCTTGATGCCAACTCCGACGGAGAGGTACATCCTTTTCTTAACCCCTTTGACTTCAGAATGATCTCATTCACATAACCTGAATACCGTGATCACTCGGTTTCCATAACCGATGGGTTAACTTAGAATAATTTGTAATTGATACTCTCTTTAACATCAAATTGTATACCAGTGTCCCGCTCTCTTCACATTTTCCTCATCGTACTGCGTTTCATTTTAGACCTACTCTCAAATTTCTTTCAATTGCTATGCAGGACAAAAAAAATAATGTTTAGATTTGTAGTTTTCCAGTACCTTCTTACAGTAATGCAACATTTACTCAAAATTTTAATGTAAAATCTAAAAGATTTGAAATCTTATTGGGTAGTTACCAGGAAAGTCCCTCCTTAGAAGGTGAAAGAAATATCTGTTAAATGAAATTAAAAAATAGGGCAGCTCGTGATGGCCGGAGTAAAATCTCGGTTACACCTATACGAAACCGAACAATCATTTACATTAGCCCTTATTTGTGTAGGTCGGTCGGAAAGGAGTTGGTTTGACGGTTTAATAGCTTTTTTAGATATGACACGGTAAAACGCAAAAAACAAAAAAGGGCTGCTGCTTATTATTGTTCTCTTATGTGTAATGAATGGCAAGTAGGTCCCTGTACGTTTTCACTTAAAACTAGGAAACATATAGCATATTGCAATTTACATCGTTAAAAAAGCGCATTTGTTTATCGCAGCTTAAGTGAGGTATATAATGCAAAAGAGAAAAAAGAACTACTGATTTATGTCATTTTGTTTGACATGTAGATTGACTTCAATGAGCTAATGTCCTTAGCGCAGAATGAGGGAGTAGGAATCCAGACTCATCATATTGGAACGGGGCGGCTTGATATCAAGAACGTAGCAGATTATCTAACTGGAATCTTCAGCATGCTACTGCTGAACGTCAAAAGAGCTTTCCTAGAGGTCAGTTGTTTTGTTACAAACTAATATTGAAACCGATTTCAAACCGAACGGACAATAACATTACCTGCAATGGTCAACATTGTTCGGATTGGTGGTGGTGGGACTGAGATGAAATACCTTGGTCACACAAAGAGACAGAGGTCGCCCCGACCGTATCCGGACACCTACCCCCTGGACGTCCATCCCAGATAACCACCCCCAGTCAACTACCCCCCTAGGACAACTACCCCCTATGGCAACGACCCTCTAGGACGACTACACCCGGACAACTACCCCCAGAAAACTATCCCTAGGACAAGTACCCCCGGACAACTACCCCAGGACAACTACCCCACAGTCCGGGGTAGTTATCCTAGAGGATGGTTGTCGTAGGGGGTAGTTGCCTGGGTGGAAGTTGTCCGCGGGGTAGATATCAGGAGGTAGTTGTTCTAGGGTAGGTGTCTAAGGGGGTAGTTGGCTGGGGGTAGTTATCCTAGAGGGTATTCGCCCTAGGGGGTTGTTGTCCTAGGGGGTAGTTGTCTGGGGGTAGTTATCCGGAGGTTGGATGTCCAGGGGGTAGGTGTCCTAGAACCCACGCCGACATCAGACCGAACACAAAATAACATTGCCCAGCTCGAGAGGCCAAGGGTGTAGAGTCGCTTTGGCAGTGTGAACAAAACCTCAGTCCAACCAATAAGACCGACACAAGGAACATATTATCATTACCCTTAACAGCTAAGAATAGGTCGATGTGGATTCCGTCTGGCGAAATGACTCACTGAGGTATAACTAAATGTCTACTTGTGCTTGATGCTTAAGTCACATCGACGAGGTCACCACCAGAGACCTACCGAACAAAATATTACATTACCCCCAAATGAACAAGAATCAGCCGATCTGCAGTTAATTTTTCAGTATGACTGACCAGCATTATCTCATGAGGTATGAAAGAACATATGCGGGGGTTGGACAACATTTTCCATATGACACTTTATAGCAGTGAGAACTTTCCTTGGGAAAAATAGAAAAAATGGTTGTGACTTCAATTTAACATTTTTTCAAAAAATCATATTTTTTTATTAGTTAGTATGAACAAAGCCAAAGTTTGACGATTATTCGAGGCTGCGTTGGGGAGGTGGATTCTGAAGTACGTGTTGTATCCGTTTGTATGTTTCCCCTTTTAATCTTCATCCCACTCATCTCTTATAAGAGCTTGATCAGTCTTTTTCCCCTAAAGCCGATCGCAAAGACTTTTGTTTTCAACAACCTTGTCCACCAAATGTTGAAATATATTGTTGGCAGTGTAGAACGTAATCTGAATATGATTTCTTCGGGACTATAAACAAAAACAAAACAGCCATTAAGTTGATTTATCGAAGGTCTATGCGATCTTTTTCTGCACTTTTCTTCCACTTATTGAACCTTGGGACTACAGGGCCATGACATTGAGCGTACGGTACTCATCAACACTGTCTATGTGAAATCCATGGACTTCAGCCCAGAGACAGAGGACCTGGATTTCTTAGTAGAGGTACTTACTCTTCTTGTACTAAATTTGTTATGAATACTGAACAAAATAAAGATGGTACATATCTAAATTGTACTTTCATACAATATCGAAAACTTAAAAGAAAATTTCATTGTGAACATACCTGCGGCTACCATTTGAAATACACCAATTGTTGGACTGCCTCACAATTTTTCCAGTCCTCATTTCACACTTCTATAATTCTACTTTGAATCACATAATTATCCATTTGGGGGTGGGTGGAGTTGGGGTTGGTGCCCATTGCAAATTGAATGTACAACTATGGACCATCGCCCCACGGTATCATAATCTTCTGTTGGTTTGCTGTTTACTGCTTGTATTATTCGTCCACCTACGTCAGGAGTAATTGGTTGAATTGATTCATAGCTTTAGTAGGTTTAGGCGTTTGATATTGAACCAGAGTACACTTGTGAATCTCTATGTAATCAATATGTTCCGGTAATTACTGTGTAGTAAAAGCTGAAAAGATTATAATTGAGGGTTTGATTAAATTAGGTATTTCCCATGTTTTATCCAAAATAGTCTAATATAAAATAATTTTTACTCGCAAAGCATGTACCCTGGGAATATTCACGAACGCGTATGAAGGTATCAAATCTGTAATACCATTTAATAACAATTTGATTTAATATTCCTGAGTTTTTTGTTTGTTTGGATATTATTTTTAAATAATTAATATCGTTACAATAATATTGTCAAATGAAGAGATTTTGTTTTTGTCTGTAACTGGATAAAAGTCAGATATCGTACGGGACGCATTGAAAGGGAATACTCTGAAGATGTTTTGCAATTTTCTGTCTTTGGTCGTTATCTCTCCTTTGACAACATGTTGCATTCATTCTCTCTCTCTCTCTTTCTCTCATTCTCTCTATCTCCCCCTCTCATTCTTTCTGTCTGTCTGTATGTCTCTCTATATATATTCCCCTTTCCTATTCACGCAAACAGCAAGGCCGTCGTGGAGTTCGAACGTTCCTCAAATACCACAACAAGACTGCGAAGGAAGAAGCTTCATAAAGTCACATCCCGAAGTGTATGGCAACTCGGTAAAAATGTAAAAGTTCAAGGAGACCTCATCCACAGAAATAAATTTAGTTATTCTGAGAGATTTGTTGTACTCATTAATCTACAAGATTCCCTACCAAAGGGTGGAGGAAAGGCTTGATGCAAGAATGATGTACAGCTTCTCAGCACGGGCATCGCTATTTTCTTGATGACGTTACGTACTATGTGACGTCGATTATCAAGTAGTATCAAATGTATAGATGCTTCCTTCCCAGTTGTTTGTGGTGATGAAGCATATCCTTCACATGATATTATCCTTTGTACTTCAATTACCAGAACCCCAAATTGCGTAAATAAGTTGATGCTTTTCTGGGGTAAAGGTTTCGCCTAAGTGAAATTGACTTGTCAACTGCTATATTTTAGTATTGTTAAATTAATTACGTGTAGTTACAATTTTCCCCTGTTATATATTTTTCACCAAATATAATGTTTTCCTTCTTAGCTATGATTTTCCCTGATTGAAAAGTAAAGGTTTTTTCATTGAATTAGAAAGTCTTTGCTACTAAAGCTTGGTACATGATACATGTACAACTGGTGCCAGGTAAAAATGTCAGAGGAAAAAATGTCAGAGGTAAAAATGTCAGAGGAAAAAATGTCAGAGGTAAAAATGTCAGAGGTAAAAATGTCAGAGGTAAAAATGTCAGAGGAAAAAATATCAGAGGTAAAAATGTCAGAGGAAAAAATGTCAGAGGAAAAAATGTCAGAGGTAAAAATGTCAGAGGTAAAAATGTCAGAGGTAAAAATGTCAGAGGTAAAAATGTCAGAGGAAAAAATGTCAGAGGTAAAAATGTCAGAGGAAAAATGTCAGAGGTAAAAATGTCAGAGTTTAAAATGTCAGAGGTAAAAATGTCAGAGGAAAAAATGTCAGAGGTAAAAATGTCAGAGGAAAATTTTTTTTTTTACCTCTGACATTTTTACTTCTGACATTTTTTCCTCTGACATTTTTACCTCTGACATTTTTACCTCTGACATTTTTACCTCTGCCATTTTAAACTCTGACATTTTTACCTCTGACATTTTTTCCTCTGACATTTTTACCTCTGACATTTTTTCCTTTGACATTTTTACCTCTGACATTTTTACCTCTGACATTTTTACCTCTGACATTTTTACCTCTGACATTTTTACCTCTGACATTTTTACCTCTGACATTTTTTCCTCTGACATTTTTACCTCTGACATTTTTACCTCTGACATTTTTACCTCTGACATTTTAAACTCTGACATTTTTACCTCTGACATTTTTTCCTCTGACATTTTTACCTCTGACATTTTTTCCTCTGACATTTTTACCTCTGACATTTTAAACTCTGACATTTTTACCTCTGACATTTTTTCCTCTGACATTTTTACCTCTGACATTTTTTCCTCTGACATTTTTACCTCTGACATTTTTACCTCTGACATTTTTACCTCTGACATTTTTACCTCTGACATTTTTACCTCTGACATTTTTTCCTCTGACATTTTTACCTCTGACATTTTTACCTCTGACATTTTTACCTCTGACATTTTTTCCACTGACATTTTTACACCGAGCCGTACAACTACCCCTGGTACGTCACATTTTCAAGAAAATTGCTGCTCCCATGTCATGCTAAAGCCATTACATCATGCCAAGAATATCCTGATTTATATATATATATATATATATATATATATCTCTTGTACACTTTCGTAAGGAATATTGTACATCAAAGTGCATGAATACATCTAATTTTTCAGAGTACCTATATTGATTCTTTGGGGGTGAGGTAAAAGTGTTCAACGTAAAAGTGTCGGAGATGGAATGCGGAGTTACAAGGAAACATGTCAGGGACAAAAATATCAGATGTAAAAAAATGTCAGATGTAAAATTGTCAAAGGCTATTTACTCCTGATATTTTTACCACTGACATTGTTACCTCAGCTCCAGCACTTTTACCTCAGATATTCTTACCACTATACTTCGTTTTACCTGGCACAGATTTTCCGCTCTATTCGTCATTTTACTTTTATAATTCATCTGTATTGACGTACCGCATTATGTACAAAATCTTAGTTTTAGCTTATAAATGCATTCATGAATTGGCACCAATTTATCTGCAAGAATTAATCGAGGAATACAAACCCTCACGCAGTTTACGCTCATCTTCACAATTAAACCTCGTACCTACTTCTGTGTCAACTCTTTCTTATGGTAATCGCTCCTTTCGCAAAGCTTCTGCTGAACTTTGGAACAGATTACCTTTAAATGTAAAAAACTGTCAAACCGTTAACCTATTCAAAACTAGTCTCAAGACACATTTATTCCAAATTGCGTTCAATGATTAATTAAAGGGATCGTTTAACAATGTTAAATCTGAGATACACGGCCTTACGTGTTATCAGTGTCTGATATATGATGTAATATTGAAGCCCTAAAAAAATTGCGCTTCAAAATGATCAAGAAGTGCCTCAAAAAAATAAAAATCTTTGAGTGACCGGTTTTACCATACTCGTTTTCCCCAATAGACTGTAGTGTTATGAAAACCGTCAGGCGAACGGTTTTCAAAATTTGTAATTCCAATCATAAATATCTTGATAATCAGACGGGCGATCGGCTTGTAAAAGTCACGGGGTTCCTGACTGACCTAAAGGTTTATAATTATCATTGCATCATGAGCTAAATCCAGAATATGTTTTCAGAATCTGAGACAAAGTTACCGGATCCCTTTAACTCTGTTCACTTTGACGTGTATTCCATATGTATTGTAATTTGTATGTTTGTTTGCATTTTTAGTTTTGTATAAGATGTAATTGTATATCAGTCTATTTTGTGTGTATAGCGCTTAGAGACTTCGGTGGTAAGCGCTTTATAAGTAACGGTTTTATTTATTATTATTATTATTATTATCATTATTATTATTATTATTATTATTATTATTATTATTATTATTATTATTATTATTATCATTATTATAATGTATCATATTTACTTGACATTTATGCCATGTAATAGCCTAAGGGATACATTGCATATACTGGATATGCCTAAAAGGCTTATTTACATGGTTATTACACTGAATAAGTATAGATGTAGGATCTGCAATTAGAAGACTGTGAATCTGGACTGAGTATGAGAAACCAGTTGGTAATCCCTTTATCAGTAACTAGGGGCAGACAAATCCTTGTGCGCTTATCTTCATGGTGCTCAACTTACTGGAAAAAAATTCGCGTCCAATATTCGTGTCCCTTTTGGGCCGACGCAGACGTATATATGTGACGTTTACCTATGCAACAAATTTGTGGATTTTCACGTCAAGACGTGAATCACAAAATTGACGTTATTAAAGGCTTTATTGTCTTTTTACGTCCAAGACGTGAAGAAAAAAAATCTGCGTCCAATATTCATGTCTGCGTGTCCCTTTTGGGAGACGCAGACGTGAATATCGGACGCAGATTTTCAAGTCTGCGTGTCCCTTCAGGGCCATTGAGTACAGAAAAACGAAAAGTTACCAAGCAAAGGTATACGTCAATTTTGTGGATTTTCACGTCTTGGATGTACAAAACTAAAAATTTGTTGCATAGGTATACGTCAAATTTTGCGTTTGCGTTTCCCTTAGGAGCCACCATACTTCATAGTATTTGCTAACCCCAAGAATCAGTGTCACGTAAAGCAAACTGTTCCTTATTATTCGATGGACTAAATTTTCACTGTTCAGTTCCACACATAGTTTTATGATTCATCAGCATACCCTTGAAAATGATAATTGTTCGCAGTTGCTCTGTATAATGTATATACAAAGCAATGAAGGTTATTATTTACATGAGAGTTAAATCAAAGCTGTTGTACGTATTACATTCCCTTGTGGTAGGTCCAATTGTTCATTAGTATATCAAATGAATGAGATAGGGGAGGAAATAATAACAGTATAGCTTCAATTAAAATTTCCCAGAGTTGTCCTGTCATCTTTGATATATTTTACATTTATACAAAAATGATTCAATAAATAAAGATAATTATTTCCACTAGAGTTGATATACAACGTAGCTGTTGCACATGTTACATCTCCTTCAGTAATTGTTCATTATTGCATGAAATAAATAAAAGCAATAAGAAAATAACAGCATAACTTAAATTCAAGTTTCCAAAGCTGTCCCCTCATACCACATGCAAAATTATGCAAATAAAAACACAAGTTCACAACATTATAAAGAATACACAAAACAAGCAGGGTTTTTTTAATTTTAAACTTCATATGTGCTTTTGTTTTATTCTCTTCACGTGAAGAGAGCCTTTAATATCTTGACATGATATGTAACCAAGTACATGGATGGTGATGCAGTAATAAATGTATAGGGCCTGTTAAATAAAACTTTCTACAAAATATATATTGCAAACAGTTTTAGAAACGATTAAAGACAAACTATATCTGTATCCAAAGAGTGTATATGTTTTCTTTCTTATCGTATTAATTATGATTATGTTATCATGAACATTTGTTTGAAGAAAAGACCTGAATGTAACCATGTGCAAGGTAACGTATCTGTCTGCAACCTACATGTACACATTACAATTGGTTTAATGAAGACAGAAACTACCATGTACAATTAAAGGTAAAGACCAGTTATGGTCATGCGATTGCATTGTGAAAGAAACGTTGTGGAATCGATCAGAAAAGGTTGATCATCTAGCATCTAGCATCTGCAAGGTTCTGGAATCATCAAAATGATAATAAATTTAGCCCATTCTTCGTAAATTTACAAGCACTATACACAGAAAGATGTATATGGGACTACCCTATATTTCTCACAGACCATGAGAGAAACAAATTTACCAAATATATGAATTAGTAGGCGGTTTCCCGGCAAATTTTTTATCATCATGTATTAGTCAAAAACATATTCTTTCACATGATTGGTAATGAGAGCTTCCATTTCATTTTTTGAAATTGGGGCGTTTCCAATACTGGTCTTTACCTTTAAACAAA